GTAGTATAACTTGATATCTGGTATTATAATTCCTCAAACTTTACTCTTCATTCTCAAGATTACTGTGGCCATTCGGAGTCTCTTTTGGTTCCATAAAATTTTTGGAGTGTGTTTTTTCTAGATCTGTGAAATATGCCATTGGCATTATAATTGGGATTTCACTGAATCTATAGATTGCTTTGGGTAGTATGGGTATTGTAATGATGTTGATTCTTATTTGGTGGAGTATTTAGAGTTTTCTATATGAAGACTCATTATCTGCAAAAAGTGACAATTTTACTTCTCCATTGCCAATTGGATGCTTTTAATTGTTTTTTCTCTTGTCTGATCACTCTGACTAGGACTTGCAGTACTATGTGGAATAGCAGTGGTAAGAGTAGGCATCCTATCTTGCTCCTGTTCTTGAAAAAAAAGCTTTCAGCTTATCACCATTCATTATGACATTAGCTGAAGGTTTGTAACATATTCCCTCCATTCTGTTGAGGTACTTTCCTTCTATGCTCATTCTACTGAGCATTTTAATTATAAAAGATGCTGTATCTTGTCAAATGTTTTTTCTGCATCTACTGATATGATCATATGACTTTTATCCTTTATTTTTAAGGTGGTATACCACATTGATCGATTTGTGTATGTTGAACCATTCTTGTGCCCCTGGAATGAACCTCACTGATGTGTTATCTTTTCAATTTAGTGTTTTATTTTATTTGTTAGTATTGTGGTTAGGATTTTTGCATCTATATTTATCAAACATTGGTATAAATTTGTCTTTTTTGTGTGTTTTCCCTGCCAGGTTTTGGTATCAGGGTAATGTTGGCCTTATAAAATGAATTGGGATGTATTGACTCCTTTTACATTTTTGGAAGAGTTTGAGCAGGATAGATATTAAATCTTCTTTGACTGTTTGGTAGAACTCATTAGTTAAACCATCTGGTTCCAGACTTTTACTTTTTGGAAGGTGTTTAGTGACTGTTTCAATTTTCTTACTGTTTGTCAGTTTATTTAGATTTTCCAGTTCTTCATGATTCAGTCTAGGAAAGTTATATTTCTAGTAACTTGTCCATTTCTTCTAGGTTATTGAATTTGGTGGTGTATTTTCTTTCATACTATTCTTCAATAGTCTTTTGTATGTCTGTGGTGTTCAGTGTAACTTCTCTTTCATTTCTGATTTTGGTGTGTGTGTTCTTTTTTGGTTTGTTTTGTTTTTTAGTTCTCTCTCTCTCTCTCTCTCTCTCTCTCTCTTAGTCTTTTCTCTTCCTTTTTCTTAGTGAGTCCAGCCAGAGCTTTGTAAATTTTATCAACCTTTTCAAAGAACCAACATTTTGTTGCATTACATTTTTCTATTGTCTTTTTTTAAAAATTAATTCTGCTCTAATTTTTCTTATTCCCTTCCTTTACTAACTTTGGCCTTTGCTTGTTCTTTTTCTTGTCTGATTGCTGTAACTAGAGCTTTCAGTACTAAGTTGAAAAAGAATGGTGAAAGTGGATATTCTGTCTTGTCCCTGATCCTAAGGGAAATGCTTTTTGTTTTTCTCCACTGAGTATGATATTATCTGTGGGTTTGTCATATATGGTCTTCATTATGTTGAAGTCTGTTCCCTCTATTCCCACTGTACTGAGAGGTGTTTGGGGTTTTTTAAAAATCATAAGTGGGTGCTGAAATTTGTCAATTTTTTTCAGCAACAGGATTCTTATCCTTTACTTTGTTTATGTGGTGTATCACATTCATTGATTTACAGATATTGTATCAACTTTGCAACCCAGTAATAAATCCCACTTGTTCATGTTGTATAATCTTTCTGTAATGCTGAATTCAGTTTGCAAATATTTTTGAGGACTTTTGCATCTATGTTCATAGGAATATTGAACTATAATTTTCTATCCTTGTAATGTCTCTATCTGGTTTTGGAATTAGGATAATACTGGTTTTGTAAAATGAACTTGAAAGTCATCTCTCCTCTTGAAATTTTTGTAATAGTTTAAGAAGGATATATGTTAGTTCTTCTTTGAATGTTTGGTACAATTCACCTGTGAACTATCCAGTGCAGGACTATTTGCTGGGAGTATTTTGATTTCTGCTTCAATTTTTTTTTGTTGTTTTAAATCCTCGTCTGAGAATATTTTTCCATTGATTTTTAGAGAGAGTAGAAGGGAGGGGAGAGACACAGAGAAGGAAACATCTATGTGAGAGACACATCAATTTTTTGCCTCCCACAAGAGCTCTGACCATGGTCAGGGACCCAGCCTGCAACTGAGGTACAAGTCCTTTGAATCGAACCCGAGACCCTTCAGTTCACAGGCTGACACTCTATCCATTGAGCCAAACCAGGTGAAGCAATTGCTGCTCAATTTTGTTGGTTTTAATTTGTCTGTTCATATTTTCTGTTTCTTTTTTATTCTGTTTTGAAAGATTGTATGGTATGTTTTGGGGAATTTATTTCTTCCTTATTATCTAATTTTTTGGCATATAGTTGTTTGGATGAACACTAATTTTCAAAAGGGCAATCACAATGCTGCTTACTTGAAAAGGGATTTGTTCTAATTGTTGATTCACCAATCATGCCTTTTAAAAAAGTGTTTAAGCCAAAACAGAAGAATATTCACTTTGTCTAATAGTATATGATTTGATATTCAATCAATACTAGTTATTATCTTCTCCATCGCTAGTTTTGCATTAGTCCCTGGCCAGACTGAAATATTATAAAATTGTTTGCACATTTGACCTGAACCTGTCCACATTTCAGCTTTTGCTCCAATTTGCCATTCTCCCTATCAATTTTTGTTTTATTTTATTTGGTGTCTTGCTCCTTTATGACTTTGCTACTACCATTCAAAGGTTTGCCAGTAGCAATATAGAAATGTATATGGAACAGAGGAACGGAAAAAAGCAAAGATAATGGAACACAGGGTTGCCAAAGGTTAAGACAATTATGTGATTAGGAGAGCCTATATTGGAGATGATCAAGGAAGCAAAGAGGTCTTTAACTTGATTTTTCTGTGTATAGCTAAGGAGAATGTTTTCTTTTTCCTGGAACAACAAGTGACTCAATCTGCGGGTTGTACTTTTTCATCTTTGAGGGGAACTGGAAACAGATTGCGATATTTTATAATCACTTCTTCTTCTCCCTTTATGAATGACCTGTTGCATCTCAAACCAACTTGGGGATAATTTTCTGGGTTTTAAAATCTGTCCTCAGTGTCTATTTCATGATTAGCCATAACTATCTACTTAAAAAGCTTGTTGAGTTTAATATTCATTTATCCATAGTAGATTTTTCTTGTATTCAAGATTCTCATTTGAGAATGTGGAGGTATTTTTGATGTTGATAGGTATTCCAGAGACTTTATCTTAAGAAGGAGGGATCCTCAAGCCCTTGAGAAATGACAAGGAATTCATGAAGCCTGCCTCTAATGTTATACTACATCAAGCTTTCCCTTACCTAATCAGAGAGATTATAAGATACTAGAGGCCTGGTACACAAAATTTGTGGGGGGCAGGATGGGGGGATGAGGTGTCCCCCAGCCTGGCTTGCATCGTCTTGCAATCTGGGACCCCTTGGGGGAAGTTAGGCCTACACCAGCAGTCGGACATACTTCTCACAATCCGGGACGCTGCATGCACCAGTGACCATACTTTTCATATAGGTGAAAGGCATCTTGCTGTTGTATGAGCAGCTACATTTTTTGGCCCTGATTATAAAAAGTAGTACATAACATGATCCATCTCAGGTAGTAGTACCACTTCCCCATCTTATGGGTGGAAAACCTGAAGCAGAGAGAAGTTACATAATTGGCCTTGTCACACAGTTATAAGTGTCAGAATCAGGGCTGAGCACAAAATGTTCAAGCCAGAGTTCATGCATGTCATTGCTGCATCATCCTGTTTTTTTCATGTTGGAGTAGCCTTGCCAGGTTTTAATTTTTAAATCTAAGAAACTGTTCCCAATATATAGGGCAAGGTCCCTAGGCCTGGCCAGTGATCAAGGCCATCTGTGGGGTGACTGGCAGGTGGGGCGATCGGGAGCCCCCCCTGGCACCTGCCTTGGCTGGGGGCCTGGAACCACCCGTCTGCCCCCTGGTGGTCAGTGCACATCATAGAGACCAGTCGTTCTGCTGGTCGTTCTGCCGTTTGGTCTATTTGCATATTAGGGTTTTATTACATAGGATTACTCTAGCCCTGGCTGAGTTGGTTAGAGCATTGTCCCAATATGCCAAAGTTGTGGTTTCGATTCCCAGTCAGGACACATACAAGAATCAACCAATGAATGCATAAGTAAGTGGAACAACAAATTGATCCCTCCCTCTCTCTCTCTTTCTCTCTCTGTCCCTCATTCCCTCTCTCTCTCAAATCAATAAATAAAAATAAAAAACATTACTAATCTTTGCTCAGTACCAGTCTTGATTCATTAAGAATGTTTAATTACTTTTGTAGATAAATTCCAGAACCTTCTATTTTACAATCACATTCCTGAACAATGTCCATGGATCTTTAAGTAAAAATATTAACATATTTTAAAGCCATATCTATTCAATCAGACTTTTGCTCACTTCCTAGGACACTGTTCAACACATGAATTAAGCCTTACATAAAATCCAATGTAAAGATTGGCTAGGGGGCACTTAAATTAATTAGGCATACACCTAATTAATTTAATACATTTCTTTTAGGGTATATAAAATTTTCTATTTTGCATGCCAGAATAAATAGGAATCAGGGAGAAATTTCATGTCAGAAACTGAACAAGTGATCTCAACATTCTTGTCAAAGTTTTCATGAGCTGTTTTAGATGTGTTTCTTAATTTCCTCTTATTTTTCATGATATTTTAAAATCACTAGAAACTTTAGTCTAAACTAAAAGACTGAAGTTTATTTAGTCATTTGGTTATTTATTCTGATGGAGTTTCTTTTTCTTTTTTTTTTTTAGTCTAAACCACAACTTCTTCTTTTGAGGCATTCTTTGTACTGGAAGTCTCTTAGCCTCATCAGAGTGTTTAGTTGTTTGTCTCATCTCTGACCTATTTGAATAAAGCCAAAGCTCTGGGTAACATTTTCAGAGAAAAAGACACACAAGAGGCTCCTGGGCCTTCTGAACACAGGGAGTCCACATGATGGTGGTACAAGGGCAACCTCAAGGTAGAGGTGAGCATTCCTTTTCTTAATTCCAGAGAGAAAGAACTGTATGAGATGATGAGTTATCTGGAGAGAAGAGACAGACAATGAACAGATTGGAGGGATACAGATTGGACTACCATAGCAATCAAGAGAAGTTAGAAGAAAGACTAATTCCTCAGAGCTAGATGTACTTGTTAGAATGAGTAAACAAATATTAATACAGTGGTATGAGAAGGAGGAGACAAAAGTGATGGATTAAGAAAGATGGGGAATCCATGGTGAATATAATATTTAAGAAGAAAGAAAAGGAAAGTAGAAAATACAGTTGATTGAGGATGACTTTTTCCTCAATTGTTTAGGACTTCAGAGCTACTACCTGGTTATTTATTCTGAGAGAGTTTCTTTATTTAAACATTTTATTGAATTTATTGGGTTGACATTGGTTAAGAAAATTATGTCAGTTTCAGGTATACAATTCTACAATACATCATCTGTATATTATATTGTGTGTTTACCACCCAAAGTTAAGTCTCCTTCCATCACCATCTGAGGGAGTTTTTAAGCTCTCTCCTTCTTTTAGGTTTTTAATTAATATGAGATTCTTCACCTAGTTTCTTCATTGTTCTAAGTTTCTTAGGAACTCTGGCTTCTTGGCTCCATGGTAACTGCATTTGTCTTGCCTCTCTGACAGAAAGGCCAGTATGGTGGTCCCCCGTGAAGATCTGGTCTGTTGCTGTGGTTTCCACAGCATTCCTCAGTGCTTGTTTCATCGTGAGTTGTGTGGGTAAGTTCTTCACTGAGGTGACACTCTTGTGATTTCTTTCCCTGTCAAGTTCTATACACTATTAATATGTCAACTGTTACTTGGAATGCAATGCTTTTGTTGATTTCCCCTCCTCCTCTTCCTCTTTCTCCTCCTTCCCCTCCCTCTCTTTTCTCCCTTTTCTTCATATTTTGATAATTGATTCTGCTTCCAGATATATTTCACCTGGTTTTATTAGTATATTCTCAATCATGACCTCTCATATGGATGGATGTTCATTGTAGTCAAAGACATCATTTGTCACTACATGGTTCACTAGTGATCACATATTCTCTACTCACAAAAGCCCACTATTGAGAATGCAACTATAATTGCTTTTATAATCATAATACTTTAGAATAGCTTCTTTGATTTTCTTGTGAGAGTTTTTTCCAATATAAGGAGAATAAATATTCAAATGAAATATTGAGGATGTAAGGGAATAAAATATTTCTTTTCTGTTCCATTTGCTTCCAAATAAATATTTCAAGTACATTTTGTGAGAAAGCTTCAACACTTTGTTCTCTCTAATCTACAATTTTGTTCTCCATTCTCTGCTAAGGCGATTAAAAATAGTTATAAAATAGTCTGGAAGGAAGTGAAAGTGATTTCATATGCCAGATGGGCCATGTTTGATGTTCCCTCAAGATACAAGTAAATGTCTTGGTTTTTACTAAAACACAAATACAAATAATTATCAAAAAGTTAGAATCTGTTTCATTTTTCATGGTCAAGTGCAAGAGGAAGAGCGTTTAAGAACAGTTATTTTATTAATCAAGAGGAAGCAGATATTAAGGACCCCAAGGCATAGGCTAGGAGAATGGTGGGAAAGTAGTGAGCTTTAGTAGTAGACGGCTAACACAGAAATGAGTGAAGAATCAATTCAGGACCCAAGAGAGAACAGGTCTTTCTCCCTGTGCACACCCTTGAACATAAAAGGTAATGTTTATTTGAGACATTTAAAATGTTTCTAAATGTTTAAAGGCTCCCATTGGTTTCTATTTACCTCATATGTTTATCTGTAGCTACTAACAGTCAGAACTTTTAGAAAATGTAAAAATAATCTGCATTCTTGCTTCACGATTATGAAAATTAAGAAGAAGCAGACAGTCAGTATATCAACGGATAGGTATGGATTATTTTTGACAGTCTCTATTCTAGGTGTTTGCGATTAATATATGTAGAAAGAGAATCTCTGTCCTAGAATATAGAACTTAAATTTCAATAAGGAAAGAGCAACAACAAAAAAATACAGGCTTATACACAAACAAATGAACAGAGGCAAGGAGTAATTGAACACAGTCTTTATTGAGTTTGAATAGAGAGAAGGAAATGGTTGCAGTTGGAGGGAAGCCTGCTTGGCACAGATTTATAGAGCATAAGGTTTTGTAGCAAAAGAATCGATGGATACTAATCCTCCTTCTTCCTCCACAGCGACTTATCATATTACATATACAAACACTGACAGAAGGCTGTCTGAATTACATACATATCATCCAAGTCTAACCTGCTTCAATGAAGGGACAAGGGTGACAGGTAAGGTGTTGCAATTCTTAACCAGACTTTCTCTTTTCTCAGAGAAAGAAAGGTCAGGGGTGAGCTAAAGATTGGTTTATTCTATTTTTAAAAAATGGATATCTCACCCTAGTTGGTTTGGCTCAGTGAATAGAGAGTCGGCCTGTAGACTGAAATGTCCCGGTTCAGTTCAGGTCAAGGGCATGTACCTCTGTTGCTGGTTCCTCCCTGGCCCGAGCCCTGGTTAGGGCACGTGCAGGAGGTAACTAATTGATGTTTCTATTCCTTTTTCTCCTTCCCCCTTCCTCTCTGAAATCAATAAAAAAAAAATTTTTTTTAAAGGATATCTCTAAACTTACATGCTCCTATCAGGCTCTAGATTTGCCCTTGTCCAGACTTCTTGAGATCAATAAGTGTTACTAACATACACCATGCAATTTGCTCAAGCCAACCCTGGAAATTCTTCATAAGAGTTTTGGTTTAAAATTATCCTTATCCTTATCATTTTGATAAAATTTATTTTTGTTATCTAAGGTTCCTAGTTAATAACACCCATCTTAATTCCAAGTGTCAGCTTTATTACTGCTCAATTTGGTTGGTGAAACATGGCTCAGGAAGAGGTTGTCCTCACTTTAAAATGTGGTGCTGGCACCTTCATATGTTAAGAGAGTTGAATTCAAAATCACGGTCTGCCTTGCACTATGTCTAGTGAGAAATGCCAAAGAAAGGCAAAATGCATGTTCGTGGTGGTTTTTATGGCCTTATTCCTTCCAAGTGAAGAAATACCAATAGATGTCAGATTCTTAGTATGCACTCCTTTGCCTTTATGGAAAAATCTCTGAGAACTAAAGAGAGGACTAAAGTTTCTTTCTATTTTTATGAGATGTTGGAATTTTTCCTTTTTTAAATATTTGCTAGAAATATGGTACATGGGGTGGTGAGTAATAGTTTTCTTTACTCTCTCACATAGGCTTTTCTTGTCCCATTGAGAGTTTTTTGTTTTTGTTTTTTGTCAATTGTGGAGCTGGCACTTCTGGGGAGAAAAACATAATTGCATCAATATTATTTTCCTCTCAACAACTTGAGGCACTCCTGTATCAACAATTGGAGTTTTAAAGACTACCTCCTGGAAGCAGCAATGGGTACTTTAGCCTTTGCTTTCGGAATGCTCAGAAATGAATGAGACAAAGATGGGTGTTAATTAAATTAACCGCACATCCATCTGGCATAAGAAACTGCAAATTTACTCCCTGTTATAGCCTTTCAAGCTGTTTCATACAAATAAGTCAAGTTACAGATAAGCTTATATGATAAAATTATCTTATATGCTACCATGTCAGCAAATAAAAATGCTCAGATTTTAAGAACATCCTTTCACATTATTATCACAATAAAAAGTTAAAATTCCAAACAAAAATTTTCCATATTCATTAAAGGTAAAAAATAATCGAGATCCACATGTATCTTTTCCTATTTGTTTTCCACTCAGCCCCAGTCTGAGTGCTGGGACATGTAGAAGCATGCCTGTCAAAACCCCAGAAATATATTGAAAAACTATGTATCCCCTTATTTAATCTGATATCTAATTTTTTTTATCATGTATTAAAAGCAAAAGCTATGATTTCTGGAACTTTGTAAATATCAACATTTAAAAATAAAACTGTTAAACCTGTTTTTAAAATGTATCTTTGGTGTCTAGATACCATTACAAATTGCTACCCCCACTCCCATCATGAATATTAGAAAAGAAGAAATGCATGTATTATTTGACAGTCCTGGGTATTACATCATTCTTCCCCCCCCCCCTTAGACTAACATTTACACAGCACTTCCCTGTCTGCCAAGATATGTAAATAAGAACATGTCTAATAGTTTTATTTTCTATGGAACATTAAGCTTGTTATAAAACTTCTTCTGGATGGATTTATTATAATTATCATCAGAATATATATTCAAAACATTACATATTTATTATATATTTTTATAAATTATTACTGATAAAATAAAACTATTAGAAGCCCATCTATAATAATAAAAGTGTAATATGCTACTTTGACCAGACAGCCAAATGACCGTCCGGATGTAATTCTGGACATCCTTCCGGACGACCTTCTGGATGAAGCCGAAACAGCGGGGGCCAAAGCAGAGGCGGTTAGGGGTGATCAGGCAAGCAGGTAAGCAGTAAGGGCGATTAGGCAAACAGGTGACCAGTTAGGGGAGATCAGGCAGGCAGGCAGAGTGGTTAGGGGTGATCAGGCAGGCAGGCAGAGTGATTAGGGGCGATCAGGCAGGCGAGTGGTTAAGGGTGATCAGGCAGGCAGG